TTATATATATATATATATATATATATATATATATATATATATATATGTATATATATATATATATATATATATGTGTGTGTATGTGTGTGTGTGTGTGTGTGTGTATGTGTGTAAAACCTTTGTTAACTTCTTGCAGTCCATTGTTCTTGAGGTTTGTAGTCCCATCATAACTAGACATTTTAGGAAGCTAGAGAACCCTTCATTTTCTCGGCGAATGTTCGTGTCTCTCTTGTGTTAGCTGCCTTGTTTAGCTGCAGTAAACTATAAGTAAAGGTCCATTTTCCACGCCTTTCAGGCGTATAGGGCTGGACCTAGATTTTTATAGACCAATCGGTACTTGGTGGGTGGTGTGGTCAACACCACGCCGGCCATCTTTATTTCCCAAATCTTCACCTGGTACCTACATGAGGCTGAGTCGACCTGGGAGTCAATGTTTTTTTTTTGGGGGGGGGGGGAAGGGGGGGGGGTGTATGGATCCGTCAGGACGCGAATACACGACCTTCCGATCCGCAGACGAGGGTCTAGCCACCAACACCACGGCGACTACCGCAGTAAACTATGGGTGACTCGTTTGAAAACAGATGCTCAGTTGGAAGATGGTTGCCTCTAAGGCAAAATGGAGGTTAAGTGCGAAGGGTTTTAGTGCTTAGGATCAAGGCATATGGTGCTAAACTTTGCTAACCCTTTTATGTAGATTTTTTTTTGGGTTATTTGTAACTTATTTTTGTAATTTTTTTTTTTTAATCACGCTATTCTTGATGCAGGTAGGCCCACTATAATTAGAACTGTGACATGTTGTTTTTTTAATTGGGGGTGGAGGGGGAGGGGAGGGTGGTCTGTCGCTTAGGTGTTGCCAGCGCGCTTCGTAATTATGGGGTTTCGTATTTGATTCTAGCTGCGGAAGATTTGTCTTGCGTTGTTTTTTAACAGAAATACCGAGACTTCATTGTACAGAAAACAAAGGGAAACTACTGCTTTCGTGACTGGTTTTATAGTCTTTCTATTGTTATGTCCCTTGGTAGGCAATGGGAAAATTACGTTTGACTAAAATATAAAATATACTTAGGTCGGTTGTGTCTAATGGGAAACGGCGTTTCAATGAGGGTAAATGACAAATGTTCCACTTCTTGTCCTTCTTTGTGTTAGGGGACTTTTAGTTCCTGTTTTTCTTGACCAGCGTACTGGTTAGTTTTTTCCTGTCTTTTCTTTTGTCAGGTGCCATGTCTTTATCAAGTTGTGTCTTCTGTTTATAACTTGTAGACCTCTCTCTATTATTTCTTGTTTGTCCCCACTAGACGACAAAGATTTACTTATGCGCATACACACAAACGCTCAAACACCCACCTACCGTGTAAACTCTATATTGACATACCAGCTTATACCGGGGTCGCTTGTAGATGAACATGGGTCAACTAACAGCACACGTGTTGACCGATAGCAGGGTGGGACCGTTAGAGTTATATCGTTTTCCTACTTCTTATATAAGTTTGGAAAGGAGAACAGAGCAGTTTGTTTTGCTTGGTTCTTTCTTGTCTTATTCTTTGCTGTCTTCCTTGGTTCTTTGTTGTCTTGTTTGGTTCTTTCTTGTCTTGCTTGGTTCTTTCTTGCCTTGCTTGATTCTTTGTTGTCTTGCTGGGTTTTTTGTCTAGCTTGGTTATTTCTTGTCTTACTTGGTTCTTTCTTGTCTTACTTGGTTGTTTTCTGGTCTTGCTTGATCCTTTGTTGTTTTGCTTGGTTCTTTGTTGTCTTGCATTGTTGTTTCTTGTCTCACTTGGTTTTTTTCTTGTCTTATTTGGTTCTTTCTCATCTTGCTGGGTTCTTTCTTGTCTTGCTGGGTTTCTTGTGATGCTTGGTTCTTTCATGTCTTACTTGCTTCTTTCATGTCTTACTTGTTCTTTTGTGCTTGCTTTGTTCTTTCTTGTCTTGTTTTTTTTTTCTTTCTTGTCTTGCTTGGTTCTTTCTTGTCTTTCGCTGTTCTTTCTTGTCTAGCTGGGTTTTTACTTGTCTTGCATGCTTCTTTCTTGCCTTGCTTAGTTCTTTCTTGTCTTGCCGGATTCTTTTTTGCCTTGCTAGGTTTTTTCTTGTTTTGCTTAGTTTGTGTGTGTGTGTATGTGTGTGTCTTGCTTGGTTCTTTTTTGTCTTGCTTGATTCTTTCTTGTCTTATTTTGTCTTATCTTGTCTTGATCAAGTTCTTGTTTTTAAAGACCATGCCGTGTATTGTTTTGGGAATATTTAGTGTGTTAGTATTGTGAGCTGTGAGTGGAGGGTTGGTGCTAAAGGAACTCAATGTTACCCAGAGTGTGCCATTCGACGAAGGAATTGGATGTCTGGGTTAGGTTTTTATGTTCCGTTTATTGTTCCGTTTTTTATTGATTTCCTTGTCTGTGTGGTGAGTATTTTGATTAGAAAAATACACATAGACAAAGACGTGTGTGGGTATTGTTATATTTAGGACGAAAATCAGAAAAACTGCTTTAGTAAGATTTTATTTTAAACATGACTTTGTATTTTCATAGGGAGAAATAATAGGTAGAGTAAAATAAGTGTATAGTAAAATATAAACAAAATCGATAATAATAATAGTAAGTTAAGCGATTGTTAAACATAGGACAAGGGTTTATAGCTGTTAGATCTGAGAGGGTGGTTAAATATGTATTATAATTTATAAAGTATTTTGAGTTAGCCCGTGCTATAACTATGGTTAGGTCTCAATTTTTAGCTGGCGGGGTGGATGCTACTTCTTCTCGTTGATACGGTGAAGCAGTTCGATTCCTGTCTTTTGTTAGATTCGTTTCTTTCCGCCGTAGATGTCATGGGTGAAGTGGTATACAACGGGCACATGTAACAGAAACAACACAAGAGCCTATTGTTTTAGTCACTCTGGGGTACTGATCTAGTAAAAGATGTTACCACAGTGGCGCTGTAGAGGTTGCATGGTTATATTCACTATGCGATAGTGCTAGATTTATATAGGGTATATTCTTCTTCTTCTTTGCGTTCACTAGCTGTGTGGTTGTTCGTCCACTTCTGAAGTGCAGTCCTGTTCCAGAACTTGAGTGTTAAATGTACATTCTTTTGACAGATCTGATTAATTTGTATGCAGACTGTTGGTTATTTGTCTCTCAGGCAGATGCACTTCGACTTTAAAGAAAGCTCCCATTTTACGACATGCTTTTAGATAAGCAGTGGGTCTATTCTTGTTTTCCCTACAATAGGGCCCCGGAACCCACACGGGGATATAGATTATATAAAAAATGGTAGGGTTACTTGTTTTTTGTTGATTAAAGAGCGATGCAATTTTACCAGACCACAAATGAACGATGTCTGTTTGAATGACACAGTTATTTCTGGAGGGCTTTTGTAGACTGATCTTAATATTTTCATCTATGAGATGAGATGTTTGAAAATGGCTGTGAACAAAACCAGAAGAGATCGAGTGAGAAACGACATGATCACAAGAACTGTTGGAACAACACCCATCGTCAAATCTATTGAGAAACAAAGACTGAAATGGTTTGGTCATCTAATGAGAATGAAACTAACAATTCCAGCAGCAGGAGCGTACAAGCTGAAAATCGAAACACCAAGAGGCAGGGGAAGACCGAGAAGAAGATGGATTGAAGGAGTCACTGACATCTTGAGACTGCATAACATCACGGCAGATCAAGCGACCGAGCGCGTCCTGGCTCAGCTACCGATCATCTGATTAACTGCAACGTCTAGCGGCATAAGCAGATATTAATAAAAGAAAGAAAAAGAAGTAGTAGTATTAGTATCATTATTTAATATTTAGATAGTGTAGAAATGAAAACAATAATTAAAAAGGTATTTTTTGACATCTTAATTTAATAGAGACAGATTGGAATTTGTATCTGGGAAGCATGTTTTCAAAAGATGGAAGAATGAGTAAATAAATCCAACAAAGATCAATAAAGCTAATCAAGTTTAAGGCTAGATGGCGCCAGTTTTGAAATGCAAGCATGTGAATATGAAAGCTAAAAGAACACTGTTTAACACAGAACAAATACTTAACTTTATAGGTAGACAAGAAATCAAATGGTTTGGCCATGTAACAAGACTTGCATCAGACATGGCACTACAGAGAGCAATGATATTCAGATACAGTGGTAACAGACCCAGATGTAGATCACGAAGAATATGAACCGCAGAAATAACAGACACATTGAAAAATATTATATTCGAAGCGAACAGAAGGGCCCATTCTAGAGATATCTTCCTTCCAGGACCCCACGAGGCATTCCAAGAGTTTAAAAAAAAAAAGAAGAAGCGGAAGAAGGAAAAAAGGAAGACTGGAATTCCTTGTGAACTCGTTCAAGGGTCTGCTTGTCAAGTCCTTTACTTTTCGTACAATTGGTCAGTTTTTTGCAACGGTGGACATCTTTTCAGCATCATCAATTGCCATCAGTTTGTCGATTTTTACGTCAATCAGCTTGGCATGGCTTTCAATT